TCCTGCTGTCTAGCAGGAGATTAAAGCTGGTGAACCAAATGGCAGCAGGAGGTAGGTAATTGCTCTGCACGCTCTCCCGCTGCAAAGGGATCTCGAAGGTGTGCCTGTGTAAGTCACCTTGTGTTCGACTGTCTCTGCTCGCGTAGGTTTGTGAAGCCCCTAGGATAAACTTGCAATGTACCAGGGGAATTGTTCTTTTCGCACGGGATAAAAGTTTAGAAGGAAATCGGTTTGGCGCTCAGATTGGGGTGTTGTGCATTGCATCTTTCTGTAGATGGCATTCACGGCAGTGAGCCCCCTGGGTGCTGTTAGCTGTGCAGCACAGGGTAGGTCATGAGTACCAGGGAGTCTCCTAGTTCCTGCACCCTTCCTGCTAACAGCAAAGGTGATGGAGGGAAGCCAGGGGTTTAGAGCTCGGTTTTCAGGAAAAAATAATTTAAGTGCAAAACTGTAATCTGGCAGCTAGGATGTGGGGTTGTACTTGGAGGAATGGTGGAAAATCTCCGTCTGGTTCAGGGTTTGGAAAACAGGAGAGGGGTGTGCTGGGAGGGAGGTGGCAGCGTTTACATGTGCCTGACTGCAATCTGTAAGGAAATGCACTTTTTTGCTGGTGCATTCTCGCTTTTTGTCTGTACTGTGATCTGGATGCCGATGCTGCTGCGCTCGGTGGGCAGGCTGTGGGTGCGTTAGTGGGCGCTAGCTGGAGCGGGCAGAGCTCTGAGCTGCGCTCCGGGGCAGGCGTTACCTGGAGCAGGACGGGTGGGCTCGGCTCCACCCGCGAGGAGTCCGGGGGGACGCGTGCTTTGGGCTCCTGTCCTGGCGGCATCCTTCCAGCATCGCTTGCCAGGTTTCTCCTCCTCAGGAACTCCCTTTGCCGGGGGCTCTGCGATGGCTCCTCTGCTCCCCTCCCGAGGTGGCGGCAGGTCGTCACGTTGTTTCGCTGCCGCCGGTTCTCCCGCATCTCGTGGCGCCGCTCGCACTTCTCATCGTAGCTCTCGTGCCTGTGCCGCGGCTGTGCCTTCTCGGGCTGGCTGATCATGTTGGGCACAGCTCTGCTGGTCTGTGACCGCTCCGTCCGCTCTGAGGTCCTCTGTCCTGATGAAACCAAGGGAGAAGACAGGATTTGAGTGAAAACGGGTACTTTCTAAGATTAAATGAATGTGAGGTATCGGACGCTGATTCTGGAATCCTCATGCAGCAGATGCAAGTGGTGTTCTTGGAGAAATCTGTTGTCCATGTACCTGTATGTGTTGGCTGCGTAAAACACACGTCTTGCTCCTCCGTTGGGTGGTGCTGACCCAGCGGATGCTTGGAAGAGAATTTCAAACAATTAATGCAACCTCGTGAAGTTGGCTTCACTACCAAGTAATGATGCTTCCACTGCTTGCTCTGGGAGAACTCCTTTCCTGATAAAATAAAATCCCTCTGTTATTCAGACTATTTCTTTGGTGCATGCTCTTAGACCTCTTTTGCCAACTTAAAGAAAACAATGAAAACACAGGAAGAGGAATCGCTGCTATTCCTGCAGTAAACTTTTTAAGTGTGCATTTCTTTTGCTAGGGTTGTGTGGTTTTTTTTTTTTTCTGACAGGTTCAAATATAGTGGTGCTGTGGTGCGATTTTACTCTTCAAGCAATTGCATTATATTTCTTAGTGGTGGCTGCCTTTTCTATGTGCACAGAGAGCTCTGGAGCGGTGGAAACCTTGTGGTGTTGTAGGGATTTGGGGGGTTGTGTGGGGTTTTTTTTTTTTTGTTTTCTTCTTTTTAATGGAGTATCTGGCAAAGTCTCTGGAGACCACAGCTACTGAGTGCTGCTTTCTCCTGCCTCCGGGTTGCTCCCTCCCCAGCTCTCGGCTCGGATGCTCTGTGTAACGCTTTGCCCTCTGCTTGTTCACCTTCGCTTGTCCTCCCACAGCCTCGCTGGCTGCAGCCCTGGCTCTGTGTTAGCCAAGCTGCGCCTTGGCTCCTTCATTGCAAACACAAGTGTAGCGAGCTGATCATTACCCTTTGGGGTGACTTCATTGTTCAGCTGTGCTCAAGAACTGGGGACACATTGAGAAATGGTACCAGTTTGTCTCGGGCACGAATTCTGCCTCCACATTTGGGCCACAAAGTCCCCAGAAGAAGCAGTGGCCCAGGCAAAGGAGGAGCTCCTCTGCTTCAGCACGTTGCACCGTCTGCGTGCGCATGCAGGGCGTAGATATGAAACCTCCTCCTGCTGACTTCTCTGCACAGTTGCAAGCCACAGGTGTGTTGGTTTTTGCTGGACTTTGGTCTCATTGAGCGTATTTGGGCCTTTGCCTCTGCATTGGTTAAAGAGAAAGCTGAGCAGTAACTACCCACAACTGCTCCTCTGCCTTCCTCCCCTCTCCTGTCCCCTCGCCCCATCGGCAGGGAAGAGGCTCCTCATCCCTGCGCACATCCCATGAACGATGCTCAGAGGGTGCCCGGCCCTGGGGGGCTTTTCTCATGTTTAGTAAACCATGTTAATGTAGGAAGGAGGAAAAAAAAAAAAAGGCATTTTAGTCTCTGAAAATTCAGGTTAAAAGTTCTTCAGCATCGAACAAAACCACCAAAACTTCATTGGTCTCATTCTGTCTCAAGCAATTAGGAAGTTGTTGAGTCTAATGGAAAAAAAAATGGGAACAAGTAAACCCCATTTACATGTATAATACTTCCGTGCTTTTTACTCTGCATTAAAATCTGCTCCATAATTATTTCTGTTGTCCTTGTGCTAGCTGTGGTGTACCCATTGCTAGTGCCATCTTTTCACTGTAGGAGCTTCCCTTGGAAGGAGAGCGGTGCTTGCGGGGTGCTTGGCTCTGGGCAGGGAAGGTGCCTGGAAACCCGCAGCCAGGACGCTGCTCCCAGCGCTGAGCCTGCCTGGGATGTAGGCTTCCGGACCTCTTAAGTACGGCACTTGCTGAAAGATTAGGCAGTGCTCGCTTATGTGCTTTTATTAATTTTTATTTGAATATTCTCTTCTTTGAATAGCTGCTGAAGCATCTCTAATTTTAGCTCAAATTTACTGAAGGACCCAGCAGTGTTTTGCTATTCAGGTGTTTCCTATTGCGATACGCTTTCAGCTGGAGGAGCCTGGGGATATCGGAGGCTGAGCAGGTTATTCCCATGCAGCTTGCATGTCCGTACCACAGCAATCCCGCTGTGCTCAGCTGGGGCCTTCCCCCGCGGTGCACACACGCTCTCCTTGGCCCAGCAGGCAAGGCAAGGTTTGGCCAACAGCTTCGCACACAGAAACGCAAGCTGGGCGTGCGCCAACATCCAGCAACGTGCCCGCTTGAAGCCTGAGGCTGGGTACAAACCCCATAGCTTGGGACAAAGTGTGTGTCTACAGCCAAACATGCTCCAAACTCTTCAGGACACTTTAAAAGCATTTTTCAATTTTTTTTTTTCCATTTTAGAAGTGGCCCAATTGCATATTGAATCTGGGTCTCGGGTGTCCTGCTCGGTCCCTGCTCATTCAGCAATTCCTGTCAGGAATAGCTCAGCCCCTCTCCCACC